CTGAGTTTTGATGATTTTTCCCAAAATTGGCCACGAGGCGCAGCAAGTTGCGGGACTAGGTGACTTGCACCATATAAAAGGAAAAATTAAATTCATTTAATTAGATGATGTTTTAAATTATGTTTTTATAGAAATAATTATTTATCTTGTAAAAAGCAAATTAATAATATATAATACTTACAAGCTTGGTCATTATAAAAAAATAAATCAAAATATATTTAATTGATGATGTTGTAATAGAAATTATTTTGTATTGTAAAAGTAAATTAATAATATTCTTACTAACTGATTATAATAAAAAAATACAAATTAAAATTGAGTTAATTAGATGATGCTTTAATAAAATTATATTGTGTTGTAGTTAATATAATAAAATACTTACGATCTGGTTATTATAAAAAGGTAAATTTAATTAGATGATTTTTTAATAGGAATTATTTTGTGTTGTAAATTACTATATGATGCTTACTTGCTAGTTATTATAAAAAAGTAAAGTTAAATCATTTAATAGATGATGTTTTAATGGAAATTGTTTTGTGTTGTAAAAGTTAATTTATAGTATAATACTTACATGCTGTTATTATAAAAAAATATTTATTTGATTAGATGATGTTTTAATAGAAATTATTTTAGGTTGTAAAAGTAAATTTATAGTATAATACTTACCAACTGGTTATTATAAAGAAATAAAAAATAAAATTATTTGATTAGATGATGTTTTAATAGAAATTATTTTGTGTTGTAAAAATAATTTATAATATACAGTAATACTTACTCTCTAGTTATTATAAAAAAGTAAAATAAATTTATTTAATTAGATGATGTTTTAATAAAGTTTATTTTGTGTTATAAGAGTTAATTTATAATATAATACTTACCCTCTGGTTATTATAAAAAAGTAAAAAATTGAATTTATTTAGATAATGTTTTAAATAAAATTAATTTGTGTAAAAAAGTAAATTAATAATATGATACTTACCCTCTGGTTATTATATAAAAGTAAAAATTTAATTGATTGCCTTAATAGAAATTATTAGTATTGCAAAATAAAATCACAATATAATAAATAATACTTACCCTCTGGTTATTATAAAAAGTAAAATTTAATTTATTTAATTAGATGTTTTAATAGAAATTATTTTGTGTAAAAATAATAATATAATACTCACTCTCTGGTTATTATAAAAAGTAAAATTAAATTCATTTAATTAAATAATATTTCGATAGAAATTATTTTGTAAATTTATAATATAATAATACAATGCCTACCCTCTGGTTATTATAAAAAAGTAAATTTGAATTGATTTAATTAGATGATGTTTTAATAAAAATTATTTTGTGTAAAATAATAATATAATACTCACCCTCTGGTTATTATAAAAGTAAAAATTGAATTAATGATATCTTAGTAGAAATCATTTTTGTATTGTAAAGATAAATTAATAATATAACACTTACCAACTGATTATTATAAAGAAATAAAATTAAATAGATTTGATTAGATGATATTTAATAGAAATTATCGTGTTATAAAAGTAAATTAATAGTATAAGAAAGCAAGTTTAATTAGATGATGTTTTAATAGAAATTATTTTATGTTGTAAAAATAAATTAATAATATAATACTCACTCTCTGATTAGTTATTATAAAAAGCAAAAAATAAATTCATTTAATTAGATGATGTTTTAATAAAAATTATTTTGTAAATTTATAATTTAATAATACAATGTCTACCCTCTGGTTATTATAAAAAAAAATTTATTTAATTAGATGATGTAAAAATTGAATTAATGATATCTTAGTAGAAATCATTTTTGTATTGTAAAGATAAATTAATAAATAATACAACACTTACCAACTGATTATTATAAAGAAATAAAATTAAATTGATTTGATTAGATGATATTTAATAGAAATTATTGTGTTATAAAAGTAAATTAATAGTATAAGAAAGCAAGTTTAATTAGGTGATGTTTAACAGAAATTATTTTGTGTTGTAAAAGTTAATTTATAGTATAATACTTACATGCTGTTATTATAAAAAAAAATTTATTTAATTAGATGATGCTTTGATAAAGTTTATTTTGTGTTGTAAAAGTTAATTTATAATATAATACTTACATGCTGTTATTATAAAAAATAAATTTATTTGATTAGATGATGTTTTGATAAAGTTTATTGTGTGTTGTAAAAGTTGATTTATAACATAATACTTACGATCTATGAAATAAAAAATAAATTATTTGATTAGATGATGTTTTAATAAAAATTATTTTGTGTTGTAAAAGTTAATTTATAATATAATACTTACAAACTATAAATAAAAAATAAATGTATTTAATTAGATGATGTTTTAATAAAAATTATTTTGTGTTGCAAAATTGTTAATTTATAATATAATACTTACATGCTGTTATTATAAAAAAAAATTTTATTTGATTAGATCATATTTTAATAGAAGTTATTTTGTGTTGTAAAACTTGATTTATAATATAATACTTACCCACTGGTTATTATAAAGAAATAAAAAATAAATTTATTTAATTAGATGATGTTTTAATAAAGTATATTTTGTGTTGTAAATGCTAATTTATAATATAGTACTTACCAGCTGGTTATTATAAAAAAAAATAAAAAAAAAAATTATTTAATTAGATGATGTTTTGATAAAGTCTATTTTGTGTTGTAAAAGTTAATTTATAATATAATACTTACCACCTGGTTATTACAAAGAAATAAAAATAAAAATATTTAATTAGATGATGTTTTAATGAAATTGATTGTGTGTTGTAAAAGTTGATTTATAACATAATACTTACAACCTATGAAATAAAAAATAAAATTATTTAATTAGATGATGTTTTGATAAAGTTTATTTTGTGTTGTAAAAGTCAATTATAGCATAATACTTACTTGCTGTTATTATTATAAAGAAATAAAAATAAAAACATTTAATTAGATGATGTTTTAATAAAAATTATGTGTTGTAAAAGTTAATTTATAGTATAATACTTACAAGCTGGTTATTGTAAAGTAATAAGAATAGATTTAATAGATGATGTTTTAATAAAAATTATTTTGTGTTGTAAAAGTTAATTTATAATATAATACTTACGTGCTGGTTATTATGAAGAAATTTATTTAATTAGATGATGTTTTGATAAAGTTTATTTTGTGTTGTAAAAGTTAATTTATAATATAATACTTACTATCTGGTTATTATAAAGTAATAAAAATATTTAATTAGATGATGTTTTAAATAATTAATAAATTTTTAACTTATCAAACCAACCCAATATATTATTAATAATATGGTGGTTGTTAGATGAAAACATGTCAATTATATCATCTAGATCAGTTCCAGAAGTCTAATAATAATAAATAATGGCATATTTAAAATTTGTCATGATGTTGATTATTTTGTTAATAAATTATATTTAATTCAAAATGTAAGAAAATTCACCTTTCCCCTATTTGTCATTTCTAATCTTCTAGTGTCTTTGCTATAAAATCCTATTTTCATGGGAGAACCAACCATTGCCCATCGAATATAATAAACATTGTTTTGATTTTTATTAGACCTGTAAAAATAATAAATAAAATTATTATTAAATATATTAAGAATAATATTATATGTGCTAGATACCCTTCAATGATTGTTGAAAATCCATATTGATTAAAATATTTAAATTTGATGGTAATATCAGGACATTTGGGTTCCATGCTAACAAAAAGATAGTTCGGGAAAAAATGGGGTTTTTGAGAAATCAGCTGATTTTGTTTTTCACTA